CCCCCCCCACACACACACACACACACACACACACACACACACTCCACACTCCAATGTGCAGACACAGGGTTGCTTAGCAACCCAAGAGCAGCCTGTGGAGAAGGCACTCTCATCCGTGCAGACACACACACACACACACACACACACACACTTGGATAACCCAGGAACTCTGAAGGAGAAAGATAATTTACTCCCACTCCACCCCTCCATCATGCTCTGTGACCCCCAAAATGTGAAGAGAAACAGCCAACCCTTCTGTCTGTGGGAGATTCCACACACACACATGAAGTCCACTGTCTGAGTAGGAAGTTGTCCCGTGCATAACACACTGCACATACATGCATAATAGTGAAACAATCTCATCAGCGTCTTTGACAAAAAGCCCTTGCTATCGTATCATAACTACACCCAGAACCTCACTTCATATTTTGTGATTGTGACTGACTACCAGTGGACTTAAGCCGGCAGCCATGAAATCAGCATTTCCAACAGACAAAGAGCTTTTAGAAGATGAAAGTTAAAAGCTCAGCAGCGTCTCCCCAGTCTAACACTATTAGTACATTAAGCGAGCGCTTAAATAAAATCAGCAGACGAAGGATCAACGCGGAGCCCTGAGCGGGAGACAGCACTGTAATCCCCTAAAGGGGGGTTTCACTACAGTAATGGCAACCCGTATGAAACCACAGCCTCTGGGGAGCGGTGGGACTGGGTAGATTATGAGCAGCCTCGGGGCGATACAAAACCCCTTATAGCCCCGACACACACACACACACAGAAAGTAGCAGGTAAGTGTACATAAATACAACCATAACATGCATGAAAACACACACTTAAGCGTGATGGGAAATGGAAAAGATAAAGACAGAGAGGTTTACGCATGTAGAAATAAACTGATTTGACTGATTCTTCACATAAACACGCATCTCCAGCTGAGTTGGGGAAATATTTCCTCTCTTTTATACGTCTGTATGACATGTTTGGGGGGGAGGGGTGCATTAACTGGGTTGTCAGGGGGGCAATTTAGCTCCTGGAGGATTATGGGATGGTGATGGAATCACTCTTTGGGCCGAGGGCAAGACGATAGAAGGAGGTTTGAAAGTGTGTGTGGTTTTTTTTTTTACTTCTGGCAAATTAAAGCAGCAGCCTCAGGGGTTGGAGACATAAACTGAAACATGGTGACATAAAAGGTAAAGAGCAGATTATAGCCTGATCCCTGCTGGAAACCAGAATGATAACACTGTGGCCTAGTGATAAACAGTGACCAGGACATGGTTATCTAGGGATATAGTCATCATTACATGCCGACTGTGGCAACAAACAGAAAGGTAGAATATATACCGTGATAAATCACTGTGGATTTACTTGGGTCAAATAATTTCATCAGGTTTCGCCCAGTACATGCAGGGAAAATGTGAGTAAATCACCAGAAACATTGTTTTGAATGGGTGAATTTATAAAATATCTCCATACAACGTCCCTTGTATCACATAAATGTAAAGCAGCCGTAGTGTGCAGTCCTTCCAGCATTGGTCAGCTGTTCATTTGTTGCCTCTTCCCCCCGGGGAAAAGCTGCTTAGAGCAGAAAGGAGATTACGCATAACCACACATACAAACAGAAAACACTGCAAAGCCTATGTGACCTCTGCCTATGAATACACACACACACACACACACACACACCTATGTTATAGATTTGGGTTTCTATCTGACCCGGCGCTTTCATCTGCACATAACTACAGTGCTTATATTCACTTAATGGTCTGTAAGAGCATGCAGCTTTGCTTGGTGGGGATTCCACATTAACAGCACTCACATACACACTTTGCTCTGATCTGACCCATGAATCCATAAACATAAAACTCTATAAATAAGCAAGACATGTACCCATTCCCAGAACCAACGTAGGGTTAGCCTTTGGTTGTGCGTTCCTTTAAAACAGTTTTACAACTGTGTGCGTATAAAGACCCAGAGGGAGAGACAGACACAGGTGACCTTTGGGGGGGAGGGGGGGTCACTGAATGCAATCTTTCAATGAGCAAACCAAGGGCTCAGCAGCCTGGGGAATACATGGCCACAGCTCAGCCAAGCCTCTCTCAGCAGTCGAGTGTGGGTGTGAAAGGGAGAGTGAGAGACGGGGACAAATGTCTCATCAACCTCGAACACATCCCACATCCTCAAGGCTTCTTTATGTAGGCCTTTGTGTACGGCATCGGGCACAAAACCACCGTGCAGTTGAAGCTCTACGAGGCTTCAGCGTCCTGAGACAATAAATCAAGTGGGCATAACATATCAGCTGAATGTGGATTTTGTAGCCAATCATTTAAATTAAATCACATGAGGATGGATTGTTTTCAGGGCTGACGTGGAGAGGAGGAACAATTACAGGGACATAAGGGCATGACATGGTGAAGCTATCCTGTAACAAGGGACTCAGGTAAAAATGTCTTGGTAATGTCAAGAGTGATTGCTATAAAGGCACAAAACTGCTCACGTTTTTACACACACACACTTACATATAGGCCAAACTGCAGGGCGAGAAATCAGATTTTGCACAGGTTAACCCAGTAACCAAAAGGACTCAAACACTCACATTTAGATTTTGCTCCATAAGCACATGCTTGTAGACCATCACCATGACAGATGTGGCGTGGCAGTGCATGCGTCAGGGAAAAAGATCTGCAAATATAGGGCACATGGGTAAACATGCTGACTGCAACACTTGTATCAAAAATCTATTTGCAATGATGTCCAAATCCAAGTCTTTTGTATGTTGACACTGCCCCCTGGTGTCTGGCAAAGAACGTACACCAATGTTAGATCCTACTGAACAAAGCATTAATGACTCCGACTGAGAAAAACGAATATTCTGTCGTATAATATTTAATTTTACCTTGCAAAAACAGAATGGAAAATAAAAGCACAGTTCCTCTTTAACAACACGGTTATGTACTAGTTGCAATAACACGTTTCCATTTTACAACACCGTCAAAATAAAGGTTTGAGGAGATGGGCAGTACATAAGCAGACCTGTGCTATCCTACCTCCGCATGCCACGTCTACATATAATACTAGACTTTCTGTATTAGCTTTGAGAAGAACATTAATGGAGGATAACGTCACCCTAGAGAAGTTATTTTCTATACAACAGCAGGTAATATTTCTCATTCATGGATGATTATATCATATCAGTCCTTTACAGTAAAGTAAATACAAAGCTCTCCCCTCAAGTGTGACCCATAATTCTGACACTTAAGTAAAATGTACTTTGACTATGTATTAATTACGTATTATAAAGTCTGATGGTGGTTAATCTTACAGTTTCCCCGTATGAAAAACAAACAAACAAACAAACAAACCAAAAACCTTAAATACATTCAAACCGTTTTAAGTGTTCAGAAGTAAGTTTCCTAAAGTTTATTTTGCAAATAAAATTAAAGTGCAGAGCCATTCTTTTTTTTTTTTTTTTTTAGGACTTTTCAAATGGGATTGGGGCCGACGTCAGGCTCCGGCTGTTCATCCATGTAGTAGGGATCTCCTTGATGGACTCTGTGATTGTGCACCCTCAGGTTCCCCCTGTGGGCAAATCTCTTCCCGCACTCTGCGCAGGCAAAGGGCCTCTTCCCCATGTGAACGTCCCGTTGGTGGGCTCTCAGGTTCCCGCTGCGGGCGAAACGTTTCCCACACTGAGCGCAGCCGAACGGCCGCTCCCCTGTGTGCGTGCGAGTGTGCACGGTGAGCTCAGAGGGAGTGAGGAAGCTCTTGTCACAAAACTGACAGGGATGCAGTCTGACTCCTGTGTGGCGTAGAAGGTGTCTGCGCTGGTGGGAGGGGTAGGTGAAACACTTGGTGCAGTATGGGCAGGTGTAAGGCCGTCCGCTCCCTCCGCCGGGAGCTGCAGGGTGGCTCAGAGTGTTGGTGTGTCGCAGCGGGAGCGACTGTGAATTGGCCTGCGGTCGGAGAGGGTCTCTGTTGCCAAAGGTAGTGAGCCGCCGTGTGTGATTGATGGGGCCTCTCCCACCCCTGTCGTCTCTGGGTCTCCACTGGGATTCTCCAGAGGGGGCTTGGGGCTGAACCTGGCGGGCCCCCCTCTGCACCGAGTTCTGGTTGGAGTTGTGGTTTTCAGGCTCCTGGTCCAGGAAAGGGAAGGAGCTGTCGTCATCTTCGTTGCTGGTCTCGTCGGAGACAAAACCCGGTCGGAAGCAGGGCGTATCTGCGCCGGTGCTGCTGCTAGCTGGACCGGAGCAGCTGGTGCCGTCCGTCTGCAGGTTCTCCAGACCGGACGCCCCACCTCGTGCGGCGGTTAACCCCGGTAACCACTCCCCTGGTTGAGCTAGGCTTGGGTCGGGCCTAGGGGAGCAACGTCCGCTCTGGGAGATTGAGAGAAAAGGGGTGGAGGCTTGATCCTGGAGAGATCTGTGGTCTGCACCGTCCTGATCCCAGTGAGACACTGCAGAGAAATCAGTGTGAAAAGGACAATTGAGCCATCTATAGTAAATCTCATTTCAACAACACATCATTGTTTATTAGTTGATTTATATTTTGTATTAAGAATCGGAATCTGCAAAGCAGCCTAACTAGTAATTAGCAACTAGTATGGTCAAATAAATGTACTGGTTACCCTCTGAGATGTAGTGAACTATCAGTATTAAGTTACATCAAGTGGAAAAACAAAAAGTAAAATACAAGTATCTCAAACATATACTTAAGTGCAGTACTTGACTAGCCTAGATTGTTAACAAGAGCACAACGTTCTTCATAGATAAAGTTTAATTAATTAATAAAGATGCATTTAACTTTTCACAATTTTCTTCCAGGGGAGCTCACCCCACTAGAGGGTCTGAGGTCCACCCAACATAGTCTCACAACATCCCGTGGGAAAAAATGAATACCGTTGCACTCAAAAGAGTGTCAAGGCCATCTTGCTCTAGCATTGAAACGGCTGAATAGTTAATAGTGGGAGCAGAATATTATAACTTCTTACATTTGGCCTTGGTTTGTGCACCAGACAGGGTCTCTATCTGCCTCTGGTCCCCGGCAGCGAGGCTTCCGTCTGGGACTTGGACTGCGACGGACCCAAAGGAAGGTCGAGATCCAGCACGCTGTGGAGAATAAATAACACAGGTCTGCAAGACGTACGAAAGCAAACCTCAAAGCATGGTTCAATGTCACTTTGTACTGGAATAATAAAGGCTTTATTACTTCAGTTGTTATTGGACAGGGTCTGACCTCGTGTTTTACTGAAGGACCATTCTGGCCTTTGACCTCTTCTTTCAGCCCACTGAGGCTCTGCCTGAGTCCTTCTACTGGGTTTGAATGAGGAGACGTATCCTTTCCCACATGCAGTCCTGTGCAAGAGACAAAAAAGGAGGTCAGTGTATCGGTGAAGCCTCTGGTGCGAGTTCAGCAGCCTAGTGACAACAAAAAACGTTGATAAGCAGGTATAGATAACATAGGATTGACCTGGACTACATCACTGTACTATATGTCCATCTTAGTACTCTTCTGACCTAAGTGAGTGAATTAACAGGTGAGCTGTACTACCTGATCCTGCCACGGTCTGCTGCCTCAAACTTCCCTCTCTGTCTCCGGATGACATCTCCCCTTCCTCGCTCCCTCCTCCTCCTCCTCCTCCTGCACCCTTTGCCTTCTGCCTCCTCTCCACTTTCTCCAGCTTGCCTCTGAGGCTGGAGATCTGCTCCGTTTTCTGCGCTAGCTCCGCCTGCTGCTCACACAGGCTGCTCTCGAAGATCTTGGCGATCTCGCACACGGCGGCGGCCAGCAGCGAGTCCATGACGGTGGCCAGCTGCGCGTGGAAAGCGCTCCTCGCGGACTCCATCGTCTTGTGCGTCAGCGAGGATGTTTTAAAGACGACGACGACTGGCTGACCCTTACATCTGCGGGCTGCCATGAGTTGTTGCCATGTTAACGAGCTAGGCCATAGCTAGGGCTAGCACTGAAGCTAACCGTGTAAGCTACATGCAATGGAGACAAGCCAACACGCAGGTCGACTAAGCCTCTTGGCAGGCCGGTGGTCAAATACAGTCACTGGCTAACATTTGATCCATGAAAGCGCTGTAGTCGCGTTCAAAAGATGCGGCGACCCGTCGTGCAGCTAGCAGGTTGATGTGACAATTGCTTGCAAGTCTCGCGATAAGATAGCTGAGGGGTTCGTGTACTGCAGACATCAGTGGAGAGTGAGGATAAATGTGTGGCGTTGAAAAGATGGACCTCATTCGTATTACTCAAAAATCATGCAAGACAAAGTACAAAATAGGGATTTTATTTGGGGAAATGTCAACCATGTCTAAGTCTAGCAACACTATTATACTTTTATTAAAGAAAATAAAGAGCGGTAGGGTTGTAAGATCATCCCGTGTGGATTCATGAATACAACCACTACAAGATAAAACAACCGTTGGAACAGTTGAAACTGTAAAACATGTGCACTTTTGTTCTGGCATATTTAAGGACTCAAGCATCAGATGAAACAAAACAATTTTGAATGTAAGAAGTCCTCAACAATGTAATGTTTTCAGGTATCTGAAAAAGTCACAGAAGAGATTCTACAGGACAACAAATGACCAGAAAATACAGTAAAAAAATCGCAAAGATGAGTCCAAAGGTTTGACTCCACAAGCAAGCACACAACACACGGGTGATCTAAAAGAGTTTGAATGATGCAGTTTTGAATTCGGCACAAACCTGTAGACTTGATACCAAACAGCACTATCTGTGATTAAGGCAAACAGCAGAAAAATATGTACAAACGACTAAACATTTACTTTCAGTTCATACAAAAAAAATAAGTTTGATGGATTGAAGGATGTAATGTGAGACAACAGATTACAACAGCTTCTACCGAGGCTGTTCTTTCAGCTACAACACTGTCGTCAAAGAGCAGGTCTACTTTAAGGCAGTGTTGCATTCAATGACCTCGTTCTGTCGGGCTATTCACTGAATTAGCCAGAAACACTTTTTTTTTTTTCCATAAATGGTTTCTTAATCAGATCTCCTCTTTTCACGTGCTTAGATAAAATATCCAGAATGTTACGAAATATTGGGCTAAATCTTGGACTGGACCCCTCTACAGTATCAATGGACAGAGACACTGATGTTTTAACATCGGTGCTCTTGCTTTAGATTGAAGTGACACAATAAATCATGTTAAACTTGGACGACATCAGATTTATTTTCTTAATACTAGTTTTACAGAGCTAGGGAATACTGATGTGGTTTCTACAGCTTATTATTATTTCATTTCATCTCATATATATATATATATATATATATATATATATATATATATCCATCCACTTCATCAACCAGTAAGAGCATAAATGACAACAT